TGATGGGGGAATTGACATGAAAGATATGGTGAAAGATTACTTAGACGTATTGGCTTACAAGATCAGTGTTATCTTTCACAGCGAAATAATAAAGTGAAGACTCCATATTTTACGCAGGATTCGAATCCAAAATACATGTGAAGATCAATTGCTCCACAGGTTTCTGCGATTTGGGTTTACACACTACTTGCAGCTTACTACAAGCAACTTCTTGTACAAGTCCTTAATGACGACTGCCCGAGTGGCGCGGACAGAATCTTCGGCGAACCATAAAATGAACACTCTGTATACTTATAAGAACGACAGAAACAATGATATACACCAATTGTGAAAAATTGGATAATAGTTAGGAGATGTGAAAAATCACTTTGGGAGACTACAATCAAATATAAAGGAGGTGGAATGAAAATATGACAAAAAGAACTACAAATCGTAGAAAAATATGAACATAATTTTAAAAATTGACGGAAAATGACCAAAGGGTTAAAAAAGCCAATATATGACTTTATGTGACACGTGAAAATTTCGTTGTTTAATAATTGTAGTAAAAGTATGCATAACGTACATTTTCCATAGAAATAACAAAGAAAAAAGATGACATATCATATACATCTGGGCCATAAGGATGAGATTTTGGAGTTTCTATACGAGGAGAAAAAATTCTTAAAACGTACCTGTATTTCACGCAAAGTTGCGCAAAAAATTCTCATATTTTCGGGAACATGTACATGACCATCAGTCTTTTAAGAACACATTCATTAAGAACAAATCTCTATCTTGAATACCGTAGTTGTAGAAAGAAACGATTTTTTAACTTTTCAATTTTTGAGAAATCAGAAATTTTAACGAAAATGAGATCTTTATGAATCTTAATAGCGTCCTTTACGCTATTAAAGAACAAAGTTAAATAAAAAAAATTTGGAGCAATTTTTACGCTATTAAAGAACAAAGTTAAATAAAAAAAAATGGAGCAATTTTTAGAAAATTTTGAAATTTTTGTTGAAGCTTCGTGTAAAGTGCCTCCAAACATTCAAATATCCGTTTCAAACTCAGAAGGCCTTGAATACTTTAAATCGAATGAAATTTTTTGAAATTTTGGCAATTTTGGATAAAATCGTCTGAACGGTTTAGGCGCTAGCTTTGACCACAGACTGACGGACGGACGGACCGACGGACCGAATCAAGAACCCACAAAATATGGATTCTGACTACGAAACATGATAGAGGAGGTAATTTACTACATATAAGAACGAAATTTATCCAGTTTTTTGTTACCAGGGCCCGGCAATAAGAGTTTTTCTATTGAGAAAGTAAAAATCAAATCTTTAAAAAAGTTTGTGAACAGTTTTTGGAAAAAACGTAGAAACTTAGAAATTACTCGAGTTTTCACGGAATTCATGATTGAAGTTAATGCAAATGAAAAAAATCTACAACCGCTCCAAATTTTTTCCATGGATAGAAAAAGGGCCGCTGAAAAGAACGGCGCACGTCTCATTTCGTTTAACACTGAATTTTCGAAAATTGTAAATTTAGATATAATTTCAACTAGTTTTTTTCTAGTTTCATACTACAGTATTGTTATAATATCGATTTAAGGCAAGCAAATAGAACAATGAAAAACTACTCTTAACGGCCAGCGTTCATTAAACAATTAAATCTGCCGTTTGTTAAGAACAATCGAAAAAAATGAGTTGCAGCTAAAGTTGATGAATAAGTACTCTTATTTTCCGAAATAGCATTTCTTGTTTATACGATTTTTTGTATAAAAAGTTAGTATTGCGAAAAGTATTGAACGACACACAGCCGATAACAGAAAAACTGTAACACACTGGGCTGGTTATTTGCTGTTTATCGGCTAATGCCGTTAATAACTATAAAAAGTCTGCTTTCCCTTCCTTTCTTTCCTGCGAGAAGTCAGTCAAGAGTATTATGTACGAAGGATTTGATCATCCTATCAACATCATGAGAACTTTGAACCTCCAAGTCCCATACGAACTGTTACGTATTGCGCGGTGGGTGTGCGAAGTATTTTCTGCTCAAGCTCGATAGGGCAACAATAAAAACGGCGTGTTCATTCTTTGATACGTTATCTGCAATATTTACTCATCAGATCTGGTAAGAGGTGTGCCAGCATCTGTCATCGCTTTAAAAACATTGGCGGTTCATATAACATTATCAAATTTGATACAGGATTAGCTTTCTAATGTTTTTAAGGGTGTAAATACAGAGTATAGATTTCCTAAGTAATTTGCTTCTAATTAAACATTATCGAATTACATACTTTTCACATAACGTCTGTCAGTTGCAAGCTTTTGTGTTAAAAATTATGTATTATAAAAATGTAACAATCATTAATTCTTTTCTGCAATATTTTTCATTGTTACTAGGTAGTTAAATAACTTGAGCGCCACTCTTTTTTCGGTGTCGTACTTATAGGAAAATGAGACGAATTCACAATGAAATTTAATGTAACGTAAACACAAACGTTACTGCTATTTTATTGATTGGATCCCTTAAAAATCATTTCTTCTCGTTCAACTTGAGGCGAGGGTTTTCAGTTACTCTGGGTGACAATTTTGAATTTCGGTATTACGTGTCTAATTTTAGTTGTATCACTGGAATATTTTTTATGTAGTTCTCTGATTGATACCTTTGGAATTTAATTTTTTATTTTTTGTTTGGATGGAATCCATCCTGAAAATAAACATAAACGCAAACGTAAGCGTGAAAGTTAAGGTTTTTTCACGCTTCCGGGACAAAGTTATTTGAAAATAGGAGGCCTCTGCAGTGCTGTAACTTGCGTCAACGTCTGTGATTTACACAGATGCCAATTCAATTTGCAAGAGTATACTTCAAGTTCTTCATCATTATTGATAAAACGTACTTTAACGTATTCCATGATGTAAGGAATACATTTCCACCTACATTTTCCATAATCGCGTCCATATCAAGTCTACCTACATTTTCCATAATCTTGTTTCAATGTGCCAAGTATTTATTGAATCGATAGTTTACTAAAAGTGACAGTCTTCATATTTATATTTAATGTAATTGTCAATGATGCCATTGTTGTAATTGTGAATGGGCCTGTACAGCTCAGGTTCAACTACTTGATAGTTCGTTATAAGATAGAAATAATAAGAAATGATCGTTATCATCATCATGATCATTTATAACAAATTGAAAAACATTTCGTTCAATTTACTCGGGAATCTGCAACAAAGAACTCCGATAACAATTGTAGTTTTCAAGACGTTCCCCACCCACGTATTTAGATTTCTTTGTAGCCCTGGTACCAGCCCATTTCAAAACTTTAAATTTCTATTCCAAATATTTTCACGCGCGGGGT